AAAGACTAGGACTGAGGACTCCTCCTTGTGGAGTCCCATTCTCGTGCAAGTGGTAGTCCGACACTTGTCCTTGCAACTTTACTCTGGCATACCTGTGACTTAGGTAATCTTGAATCCATGCTAGCATTTTTCCCTTTACACCTTTTTTAACTAAGGTGTGTAATATTGCTTGCGGGCTTGCAAGTTCAAATGCTTTTTCTAGATCAAGGAAGATCACTATAGCTGGACCTGAGTTAACTGTTCCTAGTAATGTTGCTATGCAGTTTGCAGTACCTACTCCTCTAGTGAAGCCAAATATGTGTTTATGAAGGTCTCCAGTCTTCCACAGTAGCCTATTTAAGACCATCCGTTCTGCAGTTTTACTAATGCATGATGTTAATGAAATGGGTCTGTAATTGCCAGGTTCTTTCGGCTTAGGAATCGGTATGATGTCTGCTTTCTTCCAAGAGGTTGGTAGTTTGCCTTGCTGCCAAGATGCATTGATGACGTCCAATATTCCTTGTTCTCCAGCAGGACCTGCATGTGCGATCATTGAGTATGTAATGTTATCAGCACCTGGTGCAGTGTCCTTACCACCTTTTTTGGCTCTGATTAGTTCTTGTTTGGTGAAGGGACAGTCACATTCGTCATTTATAGCTATGCCCTCATGAATGACTGTCATCCTCTCTTGTTTTAATTGTTCTTGCTGCCTTCGGACCATTGCAGGAAGCTGATATGAAGCTGTTCTTTCTGCAAATTGGAGAGCAAGTCTCTCAGCCTCCTGCAATGGTTGAATACATGCCTGTGGTCGGGCTGGTCGACCTGATATAGTTTTAATCTGACCCCATATCTTGCCAAGACTTCTATGTTCATTTAGAGTTTGACACCACTCACACCATTTTACCTCCTTTATCTCCCTAGAAGCTCGTCTTGCTTCAGATATCATCGCTCTTAGCAGAGTTCCTCCTTCTGGTGTGGGGTTCTCGTTAGATGTTTTCTGAAGATGTTGACTGTGTGGTTTTGTTCTTTAACTTCATTACTATAAAATTAATAGTTCTTTCGTTTTGTGTTTCCTAGAATAATGATTGGAATAGCTTTGTTTGTAGCAGCTGCAATGGCTTCTTGCAGATATGTCTCGTGTATGTTCAAATCCTCAGGTGGCGTGTACGTTGAATACCATTTTTCAAGTTCCTCTTAGTATATATTCCAATTGGGTTTTATTTCTAATTTCCACCTAGGTTGTGCGGATGGTGTAGGAGGTCGTTCTATGTTTAGTGTTGTGACAGTAGCATAGTGGTCACTGGTGATCACCGGGTCTACTTCCCTTTTTGCCTGATGCTTGAGTGCTGTTGAGATGAATGTAAGATCAAGGGAACCTCCTAGAATGTGAGTGGGTTCCCCAGTGTTGAGAAGTGTAATTTCAGGTACTTCTCGCAGAGCTGCAGCTAAATGGCGCCCATCTGCATTGGCTGGCCCAGTTGCACCTAACTCTTGATGATGAGCATTAAAATCCCCAGCAATAATTACATTTTCCTGCGTGGCCAAGGCAAGCACTGCCTCTGCTTCTAGTTTACGTCTAGGGGGCTTGTAGACGTTGTATATGAGGAGCTCAATATTAGCCATATTCACTGTTACTGCTAATACCTCTACTCCATCCCCACATGAAACTGGGTCTATTTTCTTGCTGGGTATGGTGTTTCTGACTAGGGTCATTAATCCTCTTTGTCTCCCCCGCTCATACGGTATAACATAGTGCTGATATCCAGCTAATCTGAAGGATTTCGTGGCTGGGAAAAGAGTTTCTTCCAAAACGATTATATCTGCTTTCGTGCTGATTGCAGCCTCCTGAAGTGTGTGGTTTTTATTTCCAAGACCTTGTATGTTCCACTGCAGTATTCGTAATGGCCAGACGACGGTTTCGGTTGGTGTTGCCTGTTCTAGTAGAACTCCTCTTCGGAATCGACCTCTATATTCTCCACCTCGCAAGTCGTGTCGCTGCAAATCGGACTGCACTGATTGTTCGTGGTCATCCCTTGCATTGTTGGAATCTGTGCCGTCCATCACGTTGTTGGTAATGCTGCACATCGGACTGCATTGAACTTGTGTTGTGGAATCTGTGCATCTCTGCCATCCATCACTTTGTTGTTGATATTGCTGCATATCGGACTGCATTGATTGCTCGTGCCCGCCTCTTGTGTTGTTGGAACCTGTACACCTCTGCTGTTTAATACTTCTTTGTTGGTGTTGTTGCATATCAGACTGAGTTGGCTGTTGTTGTCTGTCTCTTGTGTTGTAAGATTCTGTTGATCTTGAGTGGTCACTGCTTCTTGCAGTTGCTTTTGTGAATGTTGATGTTCTGGTGTCTTGACTACCCGACTGTTGTTGGTAGTCTGTATGTCCATGTTGCGTTGGTTGTCCTCTTGTGCTCCGTCTTGTCTCAGACTGTCTATTTCTTGTGTAACTGTGGTCTGCTGCACGATCTTGTCCATTATCACACAAGTGATTTCTTGAGTCTGTTGTTGTGAGGCGTTCTGCGTCATCTGTAGGCAATTGATAATGGTCTCTGCCATGATCTTCACGATGTTTTTCAGCTGGACCTCGGTAAAACTGTATATCTGTTGTGTTGATTCCGAAAGTAATTGTTTTCTGCTCTTTTGCATTTGCTGTATTTCTGCAGCACTTTTGTGTATTTTCTGATTTGGAATTAATAGATTCGGGAAATTTTGTTCTGTGAGAGTGGGTGTCTGTTGTGGCTGTGCACGAGTGTTCCAGACGTTGGTGTTGGTGTATGTAGTGCTGGTCTGTGTGTTTATCCTGGCCTGAGCTGTCTGCACTTTTTCTTTCCGTGCAGAGCAGGTTGTGCTCCAGGCATGATGTTTGCCTCCACAATTTGGACATTTGGCTGTTGTGGTCTAGTTTGCCTTGTGATTGGCTATACAGTCTTTGGTTGGATGTCTCAGGCTGCACACTCCACATCTCTCCTGTCCGGTGCAGCGTGATTGATGGTGGCCGTATTTCTGACACCTGAAGCAGCGCAGGGGTTCCGGGACGTATGGTCTCTGTCGGTATGTTCCCCAATTTCCAAGACTGAATGTTTCTGGCACATGTCCCATGACGGTCACCAGAACCTGACGTGTCGCTGCCTTGTCTACTTTTGTGCGGCATCGTTCCGCATTCAGGATTTGCTTGTGTTCTAGTACTGGATCCAGGGGAAAGTCGATTGGGTATCCCAAAAGCACGACTCGTGTGCGTCTTTCTGAAGGGTCCAGCTTTTCCAAGCATACAGGTTTCCCTTGCAGGACTCTTACTTTTTCTAAGTAATTTGCAGTCTGTTGGTCTTGTGGTGTCATTATTATTTCTCCTTTCAGGTTGACTGTAATGGAAAGTTTGAGCTCTGGTTGTTCTTTTTCCATTGCCGTTACTACTCCATATGCTGTAGGAAAGTGGTCTGTCTGCATTATCTTGAATTTTGGAAGATGTGCAGAGTCTGGCGATGTCTGGTGTGAGACTGGTGGTGTCCTCTCCTGTCTCATACTGTTGTCCTGTGGCTGGGCTGTGGAGAGAGGTACATTGTCTGACACTGGCTGGTGTGTGACTGGTGGTGTCCTCTCCTGACTCATACTGTCGTCCTGTGGCTGTGTTGTGGACAGAGAAGCATTGTCTGACACTGGCTGGTGTGTGACTGATGCTGTCCTCTCTAGGTCCATTACGTCTGCTGTCTTGCTGGTAGAAGCGCGTGGTGAAGCCTCGATAGCAGTTTTCTTCGGTGCCTGCTGCACATCGGTCCACCGTCCCTCCTCGTCTGAAAGCTGCCTCCATTTCCTCTTTCTCTTTGACTTCCCCATGACTCTCCACGTAGTGAGGACCGAATCACAGCCCTACCTCATGCCTGAGACACTCTTAGGCCTGGAGAAATTCTTTCCCCTCCAACGGAGGTCGTAGAATGGTTTCCCCAGGTGGAATCAGGGATACCTAACACCTAAATGAGCTGTTTGGTCTACCTTTCCCTGTCAGGCTCAGTACACCTTCTAAGGTGCCCCCTTGTGGCGACTGCCCGCAGGGTATCGCCTCGCCCTTCAGGGTAGGACTCTAAGTGACCTGGTCAGTGATACGGTCCTCAAAAAAAAAAAAAAAAATGGGCGAAAAAAGTGCGGTACGAGAGTTTGGGTCGCCTGCGTACTGGGTTGCGCAGAATACCAGTCAGCTGGGCAGCAGGTAATCAACAACGTGGTCCTCTGTCAATTGTAGACAAAATCGGAATTGTTTCCTTAAAAACAAGATATTGTCTGGGTCTTGGAGTATTGATGTATTCTTCCTCACAAAACCGCGATGATTTGAGCTGATGGGTGCTCAGAATCGTGAGTTTTTCCGGGAACAAATCCGTGTGCGGCCAGCTAGCAATGGCGCCGAACACACTGTCACACAAAATATTTAAGTAAAAAATGAAAATAAATCGAAATCTATGACAATAAAATTTATCAATGCAATCGGAAACATTGAAATGGAATTCGTGATATATTTACAATAGCGTGTATGTTGCAATTATGTGCAACAGATGGCTCTGTTTTTCAAAAAAAAACATTTTTTTTACCTGTCAGAGGGCTGGCATCTATATAGTAGGTATAAAAAGACGCACCTATTCGAATGCAACGTTGTGTCAAAATTTCAAATCAATCGGCAAAGAACGTTAGGAAATTTCAGCGAGTGTTGCTCTTAGGTCCAACAGATGGCGCTATTTAAAAAAAAAATATTGTTTTTCCTGTCACAGGTGAGGCATGTATATAGTAGATATATAAAAAGACGCACCTATTCGAATGCAACATTGTGTCAAATTTTCAAAGCAATCTGTAAAGAAGTTTCGAAGATTTCCCTCAAGTTAAAGAACACATGAAGTGTTTTTCAGAAAAAGCATGTTATTTTTTATCGTTACAGATGTGACATCTATATAGTATGGTGAAGAACTTTCGGAGATTAGCTGTTATGTACAAACGAACATTTCCATTTTTATTTATATATAATATTTAATAATGAAAAAACTTATCTGACAGAATGAATGTGAGACATGTGGAGGATGATGGTGCGGCATGTTGAGAATGATGGTGTGGCATGTGGAGGATGATGGTGCGGCATGTTGAGAATGATGGTGCGGCATGTGGAGGATGATGGTGCGGCATGTTGAGAATGATGGTGCGGCATGTGGAGGATGATGGTGCGGCATGTTGAGAATGATGGTGCGGCATGTGGAGGATGATGGTGCGGCATATTGAGAATGATGGTGCGGCATGTGGAGGATGATGGTGCGGCATCATGAGAATGATGGTGCGGCATGTGGAGGATGATGGTGCGGCATGTTGAGAATGATGGTGCGGCATGTGGAGGATGATGGTGCGGCATGTTGAGAATGATGGTGCGGCAAGTTGAGAATGATGGTGGGGCATGTGGAGGATGATGGTGCGGCATGTTGAGAATGATGGTGCGGCATGTGGAGGATGATGGTGCGGCATGTTGAGAATGATGGTGCGGCATGTTGAGAATGATGGTGTGGCATGTGGAGGATGATGGTGCGGCATGTTGAGAATGATGGTGCGGCATGTTGAGAATGATGGTGTGGCATGTGGAGGATGATGGTGCGGCATGTTGAGAATGATGGTGCGGCATGTGAAGGATGATGGTGGTGCGGCATGTGGAGGATGATGGTGCGGCATGTGAAGGATGATGGTGCGGCATGTTGAGAATGATGGTGCGGCATGTGAAGGATGATGGTGAGGCATGTGAAGAATAATGGTGAGGCATGTGAAGGATGATGGTGAGGCATGTTGAGAATGATGGTGTGGCATGTGGAGGATGATGGTGAGGCATGTGGAGGATGATGGTGAGGCATGTGGAGGATGATGGTGAGGCATGTTGAGAATGATGGTGTGGCATGTGGAGGATGATGGTGGGGCATGTGAAGGATGATGGTGAGGCATGTGGAGGATGATGGTGAGGCATGTTGAGAATGATGGTGTGGCATGTTGAGAATGATGGTGTGGCATGTGGAGGATGATGGTGAGGCATGTGAAGGATGATAGTGAGGCATGTGAAGGATGATGGTGAGGCATGTTAAGAATGATGGTGTGGCATATGGAGGATGATGGTGAGGCATGTGGAGGATGATGGTGAGGCATGTGGAGGATGATGGTGAGGCATGTTGAGAATGATGGCGTGGCATGTGGAGGATGATGGTGAGGCATGTGAAGGATGATGGTGAGGCATGTGAAGGATGATGGTGAGGCATGTGAAGGATGATGGTGAGGCATGTTGAGAATGATGGTGTGGCATGTGGAGGATGATGGTGAGGCATGTGGAGGATGATGGTGAGGCATGTTGAGAATGATGGTGTGGCATGTGGAGGAAGATGGTGTGGCATGTTGAGAATGATGGTAAGGCATGTGGAGGATGATGGTGTGGCATGTTGAGAATGATGGTAAGGCATGTGGAGGAAGATGGTGTGGCATGTTGAGAATGATGGTGAGGCATGTGGAGGATGATGGTGCGGCATGTTGAGAATGATGGTGTGGCATGTTGAGAATGATGGTGTGGCATGTGGAGGATGATGGTGCGGCATGTTGAGAATGATGGTGAGGCATGTGGAGGATGATGGTGCGGCATGTGGAGGATGATGGTGCGGCATGTGAAGGATGATGGTGAGGCATGTTGAGAATGATGGTGTGGCATGTTGAGAATGATGGTGGGGCATGTGGAGGATGATGGTGCGGCATGTTGAGAATGATGGTGAGGCATGTGGAGGATGATGGTGCGGCATGTGGAGGATGATGGTGCGGCATGTGAAGGATGATGGTGCGGCATGTGGCAGATGATGGTGAGGCATGTGAAGGATGATGGTGAGGCATGTGGCAGATGATGGTGAGGCATGTGAAGGATGATGGTGAGGCATGTGGAGGATGATGGTGCGGCATGTGAAGGATGATGGTGCGGCATGTTGAGAATGATGGTGCGGCATGTGAAGGATGATGGTGAGGCATGTGAAGAATAATGGTGAGGCATGTGAAGGATGATGGTGAGGCATGTTGAGAATGATGGTGTGGCATGTGGAGGATGATGGTGAGGCATGTGGAGGATGATGGTGAGGCATGTGGAGGATGATGGTGAGGCATGTTGAGAATGATGGTGTGGCATGTGGAGGATGATGGTGGGGCATGTGAAGGATGATGGTGAGGCATGTGGAGGATGATGGTGAGGCATGTTGAGAATGATGGTGTGGCATGTTGAGAATGATGGTGTGGCATGTGGAGGATGATGGTGAGGCATGTGAAGGATGATAGTGAGGCATGTGAAGGATGATGGTGAGGCATGTGAAGGATGATGGTGAGGCATGTTGAGAATGATGGTGTGGCATGTGGAGGATGATGGTGAGGCATGTGGAGGATGATGGTGAGGCATGTTGAGAATGATGGTGTGGCATGTGGAGGAAGATGGTGTGGCATGTTGAGAATGATGGTAAGGCATGTGGAGGATGATGGTGTGGCATGTTGAGAATGATGGTAAGGCATGTGGAGGAAGATGGTGTGGCATGTTGAGAATGATGGTGAGGCATGTGGAGGATGATGGTGCGGCATGTTGAGAATGATGGTGTGGCATGTTGAGAATGATGGTGTGGCATGTGGAGGATGATGGTGCGGCATGTTGAGAATGATGGTGAGGCATGTGGAGGATGATGGTGCGGCATGTGGAGGATGATGGTGCGGCATGTGAAGGATGATGGTGAGGCATGTTGAGAATGATGGTGTGGCATGTTGAGAATGATGGTGGGGCATGTGGAGGATGATGGTGCGGCATGTTGAGAATGATGGTGAGGCATGTGGAGGATGATGGTGCGGCATGTGGAGGATGATGGTGCGGCATGTGAAGGATGATGGTGCGGCATGTGGCAGATGATGGTGAGGCATGTGAAGGATGATGGTGAGGCATGTGGCAGATGATGGTGAGGCATGTGAAGGATGATGGTGAGGCATGTGGCAGATGATGGTGAGGCATGTGAAGGATGATGGTAGGGCATGTGGAGGATGATGGTGAGGCATGTGAAGAATGATGGTGGTGTGGCATGTGAAGGATGATGATGAGTCATGTGAAGGATGATGGTGAGGCATGTGAAGGATGATGGTGAGGCATGTGGCAGATGATGGTGAGGCATGTGGAGGATGATGGTGAGGCATGTGGCAGATGATGGTGAGGCATGTGAAGGATGATGGTGAGGCATGTGGAGGATGATGGTGCGGCATGTGAAGGATGATGGTGCGGCATGTTGAGAATGATGGTGCGGCATGTGAAGGATGATGGTGAGGCATGTGAAGAATAATGGTGAGGCATGTGAAGGATGATGGTGAGGCATGTTGAGAATGATGGTGTGGCATGTGGAGGATGATGGTGAGGCATGTGGAGGATGATGGTGAGGCATGTGGAGGATGATGGTGAGGCATGTTGAGAATGATGGTGTGGCATGTGGAGGATGATGGTGGGGCATGTGAAGGATGATGGTGAGGCATGTGGAGGATGATGGTGAGGCATGTTGAGAATGATGGTGTGGCATGTTGAGAATGATGGTGTGGCATGTGGAGGATGATGGTGAGGCATGTGAAGGATGATAGTGAGGCATGTGAAGGATGATGGTGAGGCATGTTAAGAATGATGGTGTGGCATGTGGAGGATGATGGTGAGGCATGTGGAGGGTGATGGTGAGGCATGTGGAGGATGATGGTGAGGCATGTTGAGAATGATGGCGTGGCATGTGGAGGATGATGGTGAGGCATGTGAAGGATGATGGTGAGGCATGTGAAGGATGATGGTGAGGCATGTGAAGGATGATGGTGAGGCATGTTGAGAATGATGGTGTGGCATGTGGAGGATGATGGTGAGGCATGTGGAGGATGATGGTGAGGCATGTTGAGAATGATGGTGTGGCATGTGGAGGAAGATGGTGTGGCATGTTGAGAATGATGGTAAGGCATGTGGAGGATGATGGTGTGGCATGTTGAGAATGATGGTAAGGCATGTGGAGGAAGATGGTGTGGCATGTTGAGAATGATGGTGAGGCATGTGGAGGATGATGGTGCGGCATGTTGAGAATGATGGTGTGGCATGTTGAGAATGATGGTGTGGCATGTGGAGGATGATGGTGCGGCATGTTGAGAATGATGGTGAGGCATGTGGAGGATGATGGTGCGGCATGTGGAGGATGATGGTGCGGCATGTGAAGGATGATGGTGAGGCATGTTGAGAATGATGGTGTGGCATGTTGAGAATGATGGTGGGGCATGTGGAGGATGATGGTGCGGCATGTTGAGAATGATGGTGAGGCATGTGGAGGATGATGGTGCGGCATGTGGAGGATGATGGTGCGGCATGTGAAGGATGATGGTGCGGCATGTGGCAGATGATGGTGAGGCATGTGAAGGATGATGGTGAGGCATGTGGCAGATGATGGTGAGGCATGTGAAGGATGATGGTGAGGCATGTGGCAGATGATGGTGAGGCATGTGAAGGATGATGGTAGGGCATGTGGAGGATGATGGTGAGGCATGTGAAGAATGATGGTGGTGTGGCATGTGAAGGATGATGATGAGTCATGTGAAGGATGATGGTGAGGCATGTGAAGGATGATGGTGAGGCATGTGGCAGATGATGGTGAGGCATGTGGAGGATGATGGTGAGGCATGTGAAGAATGATGGTGGTGTGGCATGTGAAGGATGATGATGAGTCATGTGAAGGATGATGGTAGGGTATGTGAAGGATGATGGTGAGGCATGTGGAGGATGATGGTGAGGCATGTGGAGGATGATGGTGAGGCATGTGAAGGATGATGGTGGTGTGGCATGTGAAGGATGATGATGAGTCATGTGAAGGATGATGGTAGGGTATGTGAAGGATGATGGTGAGGCATGTGGAGGATGATGGTGAGGCATGTGGAGGATGATGGTGAGGCATGTGAAGAATGATGGTGGTGTGGCATGTGAAGGATGATGATGAGTCATGTGAAGGATGATGGTAGGGTATGTGAAGGATGATGGTGAGGCATGTGGAGGATGATGGTGAGGCATGTGGAGGATGATGGTGAGGCATGTGAAGAATGATGGTGGTGTGGCATGTGAAGGATGATGGTAGGGTATGTGGAGGATGATGGTGAGGCATGTGAAGGATGATGGTAGGGTATGTGAAGGATGATGGTGAGGCATGTGCAGGATGATGGTGAGGGATGAGGAGGAGTGAGGGGGCAGCGCCTGGAACTGCATGCAGAGTTATTAATTGTCTTAAATGGAAGGTTGATGAGGTTTGGGTCCGTTGAGACGGTCTGGTCACTCAACTCCTGATGACAGGCTGGGATGGTGACCACTGTGAGGTAGTGGCCACTGTGAGGTACTGGCCAATGTGAGGTAGTGGCCACTGTGAGGTACTGGCCAATGTGAAGTAGTGGCCACTGTGAGGTAGTGGCCACTATGAGGTGGTGGCCACTGTGAGGTAGTGGCCACTGTGAGGTAGTGGCCACTGTGAGGTAGTGGCCACTGTGAGGTAGTGGCCACTGTGAGGTAGTGGCCACTGTGAGGTAGTGGCCACTGTGAGGTAGTGGCCACTGTGAGGTAGTGGCCACTGTGAGGTAGTGGCCACTGTGAGGTAGTGGCCACTGTGAGGTAGTGGCCACTGTGAGGTAGTGGCCACTGTGGCATGGTGGCTACTGTGAGGTAGTGGCCACTGTGAGGTGGTGGCCACTGTGAGGTAGTGGCCACTGTGAGGTAGTGGCCACTGTGGCATGGTGGCTACTGTGAGGTAGTGGCCACTGTGAGGTGGTGGCCACTGTGAGGTAGTGGCCACTGTGAGGTAGTGGCCACTGTGGCATGGTGGCTACTGTGAGGTAGTGGCCACTGTGAGGTGGTGGCCACTGTGAGGTAGTGGCCACTGTGAGGTAGTGGCCACTGTGAGGTAGTGGCCACTGTGAGGTGGTGGCCACTGTGAGGTAGTGGCCACTGTGAGGTGGTGGCCACTGTGAGGTAGTGGCCACTGTGAGGTGGTGGCCACTGTGAGGTAGTGGCCACTGTGAGGTGGTGGCCACTGTGAGGTAGTGGCCACTGTGGCATGGTGGCCAATGTGGGATGGTGGCCATTTTGAGGTGGTGGCCACTGTGGCATGGTGGCTACTGTGAGATGGTGGGATGGTGGCCATTTTGAGGTGGTGGCCACTGTGAGGTAGTGGCCAATGTGGGGTGGCGGCCACTGTGGCATGGTTGCTACTGTGGGATGGTGGCCACTGTGGGGTGGTGGCCCCTGTAAGGTAGTAGCCAATGTGGGGTGGTGGCTTCTGTGACATGGTGGCCACTGTGGGGTGATGGCCACTGTGAGGTGGTGGCCACTGTGGGGTGGTGACCACTGTGGGATGGTGGCCACTGTGGGATGGTGGCCACTGTGGGGTGGTGGCTACTGTAAGGTGGCGGCCACTGTAAGGTGGTGGCCACTGTGAGGTAGTGGCCAATGTGGGATGGTGGCTTCTGTGGGGTGATGGCCACTGTGAGGTGGCGGCCACTGTGGGGTAGTGGTCACTGTGGGATGGTGGCCATTTTGAGGTGGTGGCCACTGTGAGGTGGTGGCCACTGTAGGGTGGTGGCTACTGTGGGATGGTGGCCCCTGTGAGGTGGTGGCCACTGTGGGATGGTGGCCACTCCGGTAAGTGATGACCACTTTCTAGTGATGACCACACTCTGGAGTGATGACCACTTTGGGATGATAGCCACTCCGGGGTGACGGCCACTCTGGAGTAATGGACACTCTGGTCATGTTGGCCACTCTGGGATAATTGCCACTCTGGGGTGATGGCCACTCTGGTCATGTTGGCCACTCTGGGATAATTGCCACTCTGGGGTGATGGCCACTCTGGGGTGATGGATACTCTGGGGTAATGGCCACTCTGGGGTGATGGCCACTCGGGACATGATATGACTACTCTGGGGTAATGGCCACTCTGGACATGTTGGCCACTCTGGGATGATGGCCTCTTGGGGTGATGGCCACTTTGGGGTGATGGATACTCTGGGGTGATGACCACTCTGGGGTGATGGCCAATCTGGACATGATGGCCACTTTGGGGTGATGGCCACTCTGGGATGATTACCCCTCTGGACAAGATGGCCACTCTGGGGTGATGGCCACTCTGGACATGATGGCCACTCTGGGGTGATGGCCATTCTGGGGCGATGGTCACTCTGGGGTGATGGCCACTAAGGGTGATGACCACTCTGGGGTGATGGCCATTCTGGGGTGATGGCCACTCTGGACATGATGGCCACTCTGGGGTGATGGCCATTCTGGGGTGATAGCCACTCTTGGGTGATGGCCACTATGGGTTGATGCCCACTCTGGGGTGATTGCCACTCTGGGGTGATGGCCTTTCTGGGGAGATGGATACTCTGGGGTTATGACCACTCTGGGGTGATGGTCACTCTGGACATGATGGCCACCCTGGGGTGATGACCACTCTGGGATGATAGCCACTCTGGGGTGATGGCCACTCTGGGGTGATGGTCACTCTGGGATGATAGCCACCCTGGGGTGATGACCACTCTGGGATGATAGCCACTCTGGGGTGATGGCCACTCTGGGGTGATGGTCACTCTGGGATGATAGCCACTCTGGAGTGATGGTCACTCTGGGGTTATGACCACTCTGGGGTGATACCACTCTGGGGTTATGGCCACTCTGGGGTTATCGTCACTCTGGGGTTATGGCCCCTCTGGGGTGATAGCTACTTTGGGGTTATTGCCACTCTGGGGTGATGATTACTCTGGGGTGATGACCACTCTGTACATGATGACCACGCTGGGGTGATGACCATTCTGGACATGATGACCACTGTGGGGTGACGGACACTCTGGACATGATGGTCATTCTGGGGTGATGGCCACTCTGGGGTGATGACCACTCTGGACATGATGATCACTGTGGAGTGATGGCCACTCTGGACATGATGGCCACTCTTGGGTGATGGCCACTCTGGGGAGATGACTACTCTGGACATGATGGCCACTATGGGGTGATGGCCACTGTGGGGTGACGGCCAATCTGAGGTGATGGCCACTCTAGACATGATGGCCACTCTGAGGTGATGACCACTCTGTACATAATGATCACTGTGGAGTGATGGCAACTCTGGACATGATGGTCACTCTTGGGTGATGGCCACTCTGGGGTGATGGCCATTCTGGGGTGATGACCACTCTGGACATGATGACCACTCTGGGGTGTTGGCCACTCTTGGGTGATGACCACTCTGAGGTGATAACCACTCTGGGGTGATGGCCACTCTGGGGTGATGGTCATCTGGACATGATGGCCACTCTGGGGTGATGACCACTCTGGGATGATGACCAGTCTGGGGTTATGGATACTCTGGGATGACGACCGCTCTGGGGTGATGGCCACTCTGGACACGATGGCCACTCTGGGAAGATGGTCACTCTGGGGTGATATCCACTCTGGGGTGATGGCTACTCTGGGGTGATGGCCACTCTGGGGAGAACGTCACTCTGGGGTGTTGACAATTCTGGGGTGATGACCACTCTGGGATGATGGCCACTTTGAGGTGATGACAACTCTGGGGTGATTGCCAATCTGGGGTGATGGCCATTCTGGGGTGATGACCACTCTGGACATGATGACCACTCTGGGGTGATGGCCACTCTAGGGTGATGACCACTCTGGACATGATGACCACTCTGGGGTGTTGGCCACTCTTGGGTGATGACCACTCTGAGGTGATAACCACTCTGGGGTGATGGCCACTCTGGGGTGATGACCACTGTGGGGTGATGCCAATCTGGGGTGATGGCCACTCTGAACATGATGGCCACTCTGGGGTGATGACCGCTCTGGGATGATAGGCACTATGGGGTGTTGGCCACTCTAGGGTGATTGTCACTTTGGACATGATGGCCACTCTGGGGTGATGCCAACTCTGGGGTGATGGCCACTCTGGGGTGATGGCCACTCTGGGGTGATGTCCACTCTGGAATGATAGCCAATTTGGGGTGATGGCCACTCTTGGGTGATAGCCACTTTTGGGTTATGGCCCCTCTGGGGTGATGGTCACTCTGGTGTGATGGATACTCTGGGGTGATGGCCACTCTGGGGTGATAGCTACTCTGGAGTTATGGTACCTCTGGGGTTATGGCCACTTTGTGGTGATGGCCACTCTGGGGTGATGACCACTCTGGGGTGATGACCACTCTGGGGTGAAGGCTACTTTTGGATGATGGCCACTCTGGTGCTGGACACCAGTTAGGTGCCATACACATAAGATGACCTAATGCCCTGTTATGATGGCTGGCGCTAAGCTTAACAACTTAATAGGTATCAACAACATTGTCAGCAGATTTGAATGTAGCAAGCTCTGAGCCTGCAGCCCTCAGACCTTCAGAGACAGCCTGGGCAACAGAGCCTCTGCACATGCTCCCTCACACTCTCCGAGCTAGTTCTTGGCCCAGTGCAGAAGATATATATATATATATATATATATATATATATATATATATATATATATATATATATATATATATATATATATATATATATATATATATATATATATATATATATATATATATATATATATATATATATATATATATATATATATTTATAATAAACTAAGAAAAAGCAGTGGATGTTTGGTACTCCAATTCCTGCCCACTACCGAGTAACCTTCGACCATCCCCAGTCAACAACAACCTAACATCAACCGATGTTACACTGGTGGCAGCTTACTGGGACTCACCCCTTGTACTCCAGCAGCACAGCAGCACAGCAGCGCACAGCAACAGAGCAGCTCACAGCAGCACAGCTGCGCAGCAGCACAACCACACAACAGCGCACAGCAACACATAAGCACAGCAGCGCACAGCAGCCAGCATCGCAACAGTTCAGCGTGCGCTCGTGCCTGACTCACCGCATGCCACCAGCTGACTCGCCGTGACTCAACGAGCATTGGGGCCTTCCTGACGTCACCTTACCACCCCCAGCTGTCTGGCCTGACGACTTGTGCCGCGCCTGACGTCTCCTGCCGCACCTGACGTCTCCTGCCGCCTGACGATTTTTGCCGCCTCCCGACGCCGACGACGCCGCAGCACGACGCCGACGCCGCCGCAGCACGACGCCGACGCCGCCGCAGCACGACGCCGGACCTGTGACGACCAGATCATCTCTGCCCCGTTGAATGGATTGCAGCCCCAGCAGCCTTCAGCTTAAGTTAAGTACCCTTTGTTATTTGTGTTGTAGAGTAAACTGTGGACTTACGTGGGCACAATGTAAACTTACATTATGGATAACCGATACTCGCTCAGGCCTCGCTCGCGCACTTACCCCTACAGTCTACGGTCTCGTTCACTATCGGAGAGTAACTTACTCTTAACTAGTGAGCTACCTACGCTCGCTCACTTACCCTTAGCCAGTGAACTCCCAACCTCAGCTCTCGGTAGCTTATCCTCATTAACCTCTACAACCAGCAGCGACTCAGTAATCATGACTCAAGCCCCGAATACTGCGGGATCTAACTCGAACACCGTTACAGTGCTTACACAGTCTGTTGACATTCGCCCGTTTAGTGGAAAGGATCCAACCCTCTTGGAGACGTGGTTCGCTAGTGTAGAGGCTAGAGCAAAGAGCATGGGTACTGCTGTCACAGACGCGGACTATATCAGTATGGCGACGTCCACACTTGACTATAAATCTGGAGATGCATATCTCGTAGCAGAAACACCTGACTTAAAGAAAATTGTAAACTGGGAAGAATTTAAGAAATTCTTTCGAAGGAGATATATATCGGTAGTTGATCGTGATCCCTTTGGCATTGCTCGCCAATTAGCTACTGCGGTAATGCGTCCTGATGAAACACGCAACGCTTTTGCCACGCTTCTAGCTACGCTACAGGACTCACTGGAGAAAGCCTTGATGGGTTCTAGATGGGACGCTAGTGGAAGCCTCACTATACAGAATGTGGGTAAACTATTGGCATTCGGTGCCATGCAGAGTCATGCCCCCGAGGCCATACTGAAAGACATTGAGGCTAAGAATTTTGGTCCTGCCCACACACTTTGGGACTTGATGGACATCATGGTAGAGTTCACAGACAGGCTAAAGTCCCGGGATTCTGCCTAGCTTTCTGCCGTTTTTCGTGCAAACAGTCCCCATACCACTGTGAACGTTGTCACGCGTTCTACCCCGAGACGTGTTCAGACTCGTGCTAGGTCTCCTCCGCCTTCGTATAGCCCCAGGTCATATTCTAGGACAGGCTCCCCTCAATACCCTCGGCGACCTCGAACGCCAGAATGTTTTAGCTGTGGCAAACCAGGACACCGTAAGGCAAAGTGTACATCAACTAACACTCGTTACCAACAGCATGCTAGACATAACTACACAGGCCGATCTCATGATCAGACCCGTTCTTATTGCACATATCACCGCCGACCTGGACATGACACTGCTGACTGTAGAGCCCGCCACGGTACTAACCAGGCTAACCGTTCTAGTCTTACTCCTCCTTCTCGTAAGCAACCGCAGGCTGCAACAACTAACCAGCGCCGACCGAGCCCTATATGTAGCCCTGCAATCCGACCAACTGCCCATGTTAGGTATGCAACAACTGACAGTCGCGACACAGATGGACACCGTGACTCGCACGTGGCAAACGGCGCCACGGCCGTCAAGGATAATGCAGACACGATCTACGGACACTCAGATCAGCCCTATGACTCTCAGTCGGGGGAAGGTATAGCAGCCTGGGTAAACGGTATGATGTAGGGAAGCGAGACGACCTCCCTGTATACTCAGTGCCTACCTGTAACAGGTACTGTACCTTAGCAGAGGAGGATAACATGGACGAACTACACACTGACGGTACTCGTGTACATGTACTCCAGACACCACATCGACCGTGTCAGTCTCGTAATAACATGTTTAACAGGATGCCTATCAAGGACACAGGAGGTCCTCTGATTTCAGCCATGTGGGAACCGACTTGTGAGATTTATATTTATTTAATTTATATGAATTTATATTTACGTTAATTTATATACTTCGATAGCAATTTGTATAATGATAAGTGGACTGTATTTCTGCAATAATCTCATAATCTCACAAATCGATCCTCTACACATTAGGGGGGGTTTATTAAATTTATATATGCAGCCAATCAAACTACAGTAACTACATACATTGAAAAGGTTCCTTATCTTATAGTACAGCAGGTTAGTCCACCAGGTATAACTAGGGTGTAGACACCAAATTATCCTCTTTGAGGTAGCTTTCATCACC